GTAAATATCATGTTCCATGAAGATATTTTGTAAATTTCCTACTGTAAATATATCAAAACTGAATTTTTGTTTAGTAATATGCATAGCTAAGAACTTCATTTGGACAACTTTAAAGGAGATTTCCTCAATATTTTGTTTTTTTTGTTTTGTTTTCAAATAGTTGTATCTCGGCCAAATATTGTCCTATGAAAAGTTTATTTATTCAGCTTTCAGATGATGCATAAATCTCAATTTCAAAAAATTGACCCTTATACACAAAACAAAACAAGCCAATATATGCATGCCGCTGAATATAAGGATAAACTGCTGCATCAGTGGACATGCACGTATCCACACACATGAAGATGAACGCGCAGTAGTTTTCAGTCGCAAATGCGACTGAAATGGTAGCACTGTAGAGCCCTGCCTAGGACTATGTGTGTCTGGGCTACCATGCCGACTGGCTTAACTCTTAATTAGACGCGCACTACATGTAATGTTAATTAACAAAATGGATATACGTTGCAATCTGATAGATAAGACCCCAGCATCCACCTGAGCAAATATCATAATTTAGTCATTTAATATCTGCTGTTACTTTCTACACTTCATCATTCCTAGCGGCAGCATAACAGCTCGTTAATTCATCTTCGTGCAATGATGAGATGGATAAAGTTAGCCGATGCATGTCATTTTACTCTCTCGTGTAGATAAAATTATCAGGATACAGTGCACAAACTCCTGGGTGGACTGACTTGAATGAACAAATAAAGCAGAATATAAACGTTCTTTCTCCGTTTTCTGAATTACACAACAGCCTACCACACAATAGCCTACACGTCACACGAGCACATTTCTCCGAACCACACTACCCATAATGCATTTCACTCTGAACTGCAACAACCATAGTGATAACTCTTAATTCCCTTTTCCCGCAACACTCATCGTTGATATGACTGTGATAAACCATTTGACTCTCTCGTGTATATAAAAGTTGTCAAAGTTACAGTGCACAAAAACCCCTGGGTGGACTGACCTGAATGAACTGAAATAAAAGCAGAATATAAATGTTCTTTCCCCATTTTCTGAATTACACAGCACGGCGAGAGCACACGTCGCACGAGCACATTTCCACAAAATACACTACCCATAATGCATTTCACTCAGAACTAACTGTTACAGCCGTAGATAGTGATCTTCAGTGTCTCCTGTAACACTGTCATTGATATGACTACGATAAGCACGTGCTTTTGACACTGCGTGCAGCTGAAATCAACCACACACTCATCACAATGAAAACATCGACCTTAGAAATAACGAACGTGAACACTGGGATAATCGTCGATGTATATGGAGAACCCCAGTTAAAATGCATACACAAGAATGCTGATTTTATTTAACCTGTTTTCATGTTCGTTACTATTAATGTGTCCTCAGAGCGATTACAAGCTCTAAACTGCCTTTTGCTCTAGCTGTATAAAAACATGCTAAATGCTGCTGCTAATATGCTTAAAACTTAACTGCTGCATACAATGCAAACTGCTAACATGACACTTAGTTTAAAATTGTTTACGGTTGCTCATTTTGTATTCAATTAGGCAGACCACGCAAATATACACAGCGATATGGATTAAAAGAGCATTCACTTATCTTAGATGTTGATTTAGGCTGCTCTGAAGTGCGCTGCAAACTGCTACGGCAAACAAAAGCCAGGTATTTGAATATTGAGCAGCGAGCTCATTGGCTACCGATACAGGAGAGAACCAATCAGCTGCCACTTGACAATGATGTCACCAGGTCAGATTGAGCTAGACCTATCGGACTGCGCCATCTAGAGTTTCATGCCAGAATTCTGTATATAAACAATTATATATTTTGCTGTAAGGTGCAATTTTCACACATTTCTTACCCAAAGATGCCTCTTTCATATCTCCCTTTCCTCCTTTTTTCAATAAGGCAAATAAGAAAATAACCAGCAATGGAGTGAAGAGGGCGATAGACTGTTTCAAAAAGTTAATCAGAGAAAAACAGTAATGAGATTCCCCATCATCATCAGCGCACACATGCATTTTATATTCAACTGAATTTCCTTGGCTGAACATGAGTTGTAAGCACTTACAAACATGAAGCGGGTAGGAACACGGTCCTTTTTGACGGGATGGAACTTATAGAGCCAGAGTTCCTCAGGCTGGATCTCACGGCTGAATGGAGGAAGCTCCTCAGTCACACTACAAGAGCATAATAACAGCCTGAGAGAACAATCCTCACCTCCACAAAACAGACAAACACAGGCACAGCTCAAGAGACTGGAAAATTTTCCCACACAGCTGCGAGAGAACCTGTCGCTTGCTTTATTGGGCAACAGCTCTATAAAACTGAACAAAAGACTAGCGTAACAGGTTATGAAAGATGAGGTTACTGGTTAGATTTGTCAAACCCACAAATGTAACTGAATGTAACTGAAGATTTCTGCTTGGTCTATTTTATCAAGCAGAAAGTGAACTTACAGAAAAACACCTAAAAGCAGCAGCCGCATAATAACTTCAGCAATAAAGCCATTATCAAAACTCTTCCTCATCTTTGGTCCTGGTTTGTCATCAACGACACCTCCACCTAAAACCTGGAAAAAGTGAAAGATGATTGTCGCATTAAACTGAAATCATAATTTAAATACAAAGACAGAATTAAGTATCTGAGAATTCAAACAGGAACCGCCAAGATAAACTTCATCACCAACAACCTTCCACCAACATGAAACGAGAAGATATGATGGGGAATGTGATACTTCAACTGGTTAGTATTTTAAACCCAAAACAAAAAGAAAAGAAACCACTAGTGTTATTTAAAAGGGGAATTAATATTACATTTATTGCGTCTGTAGCACAGAACCCTGTTAGAATGTCCAGTTTAAAATGGTATCTGGTTTCTAGCTGGTGTATGATGGTCATTACAAACTGGTTGACCAGTTGCATCAAAAACCAACCTGACCACCAAGTACGACCAACTAGTAATTGGTTTGGTGTAGGTCCTTAATTAATGACCACATCGGATCAGCAAGAAACCATCTACCATGTTCTAAAACAGCTTAACCTCTTTAAGATGGTATGAACAGCTAGTTGATGGTCCAAGATGGTCTATACTCCAGTTACAACCAGCATAAACAAGCTGCCAGGTTTGGCGCTGGTCTAAGATGGTCTACAGCTTCGACCAAACCAGCTACCATGTTCCAAAATACAGCTAGATTTACCAGTTTTTCCAGCATGGAGCTCTGTTAGAAAAGCTAGTTTAAGTGGTAGCTGGTTTCTAGCTAGTGGTCATTACAAGCTGATTGGCAAGTTACCATGTTCGAAAAACCCAACCTGACCACCAAGTATAACCAGCCAGTAGGTGTTATGTTGCTGGTCACCAACCAATGACCACCTTGGACCAGCTAGAATCTATTTCCAACCTGTTTTACCACCTTAAGATAGTATGAACAGCTGGTAGATGGTCTATAGTTTAAACCAGCATTAACAAGATGCCAGTTTGTTGCTGGTCTAAGATGGACTACAACTTAAACCAACTAGAAATCAGCTACCACGTTTCAAAATACAGCTTTTTTCCAGCACTGAAGAAAGGATCGATATTTCCTGGTGAAACAATCAGAGCACTAGAGAGTGTGTCACGGGAGACAAACTGATAGTTAATCTGTAGGATGTGCTGCCACCAGCTGCGCGACCCTCCGCGCCACATCCGTGATATTTGCTTACGAACATTTCCGCAAACACGACATCGCGCATCCTCCGTCTTTTGTCTGCAGTTCGGAGTTGAATACCGACCTTCGGATTCTTTCCTTTTCCGTGTAAACCGCCGCCTTGTCGGCTGTCGAGAGCAGCCACCGGAGCAGAATTTCGTGAGGTCTATCATATATATTTGACATGTCCAGCCGCAGCTGAGCGCCGTACTGTGCAGCGATGAAGACGTCTGACGAGGCAGTCCATACACTGACATTAACACGTCAGTCCTTTCAGGGATGTCCGAATCGCCAAGGAATCATTCATTTGAACCGGTTCTTTTTACTGATTCGATCGAGCCGATTCGCAGAGGCTTTGTGAATCACGCGAATTTAAAGGGAGGTTATGAATGATTGATGACTCTTCACTTTAGTTTAAAAACTAAAACAACATATATAAACTATAAAAACATTTTCACTTTGAAATTAATAAGAAAATTCGTTCAAATTGTCATAATTAACTTTTTAAAATCTTCTTTCACTTTATTCACTTACCCGAAAACCTGCTGTCCTCAGACCATATACTAATACTACAGGTGCATCTCAATAAATTAGAATGTCGTGGAAAAGTTCATTTATTTCAGTAATTCAACTCAAATTGTGAAACTCGTGTATTAAATAAATTCAATGCACACAGACTGAAGTAGTTTAAATCTTTGGTTATTTTAATTGTGATGATTTTGGCTCACATTTAACAAAAACCCACCAATTCACTATCTCAGATGCTGATTTCATTTTCCAGCAGGATTTTTGGCACCTGCCCACACTGCCAAAAGCACCAAAAGTTGGTTAAATGACCATGGTGTTGGTGTGCTTGACTGGCCAGCAAACTCACCAGACCTGAAGCCCATAGAGAATCTATGCGGTATTGTCACGAGGAAAATGAGAAACAAGAGACCAAAAATGAGCTGAAGGCCACTGTCAAAGAAACCTGGGCTTCCATACCACCTCAGCAGTGCCACAAACTGATCACCTCCATGCCATGCCGAATTGAGGCAGTAATTAAAGCAAAAGGAGCCCCTACCAAGTACTGAGTACATGTACAGTAAATGAACATACTTTCCAGAAGGCCAACAATTCACTAAAAATGTTTTTTTTATTGGTCTTATGAAGTATTCTAATTTGTTGAGATAGTGAATTGGTGGGTTTTTGTTAAATGTGAGCCAAAATCATCACAATTAAAAGAATCAAAGACTTAAACTACTTCAGTCTGTGTGCATTGAATTTATTTCATACACGAGTTTCACAATTTGAGTTGAATTACTGAAATAAATTAACTTTTCCATGATTCTAATTTATTGAGATGCACCTGTATATTATATACTTTCAAAGTATATTAAACTCCACTAAAAATAAAAAAATTGAAATATTTATGAAACATTGTAGGCAAACCTTCTGCTATAAATTCTTCAATTGCTTTATTTGAGATACTGTTTTTTAAGTAAATTAATGCAAAAATGAGTGCTTAACCGCAGTAATATTTAGCTAAACGTTACTTTTGTGAACAACGCGATGACTCGAATGCATCACTGAATCAAGAACGTTTCAAAAAAATCGATTCGGACATATGAGTCGTAGATTATAATGGATCATACGCCCTCCAGAGACTGTCACATGCACATTTGCACATGCAAATTTCCTTAGCCACCTGGACCCTATTCAAAGTAGGCTAAACATATTCAAAAATGTGCGACAGCGTGATATACAACAAACTCAATTCAGATGCGGATTCAAAGAAATGCTTGAACATTCATTACAGTTTATTGAAGTCAAACCAGGCAAGTCTGAAAACGTTTAAATCTGTGGAATGTTGCGTAAAGTACTCTCAGAATAAATTATGAATTCTGAAGAAATACATCTCAAAAGTTGGTCAAATAAAATACAAGAAATGTACAAAATGTTTCTAGGTTCACAAACATTCAGAAGCAATATTACAAGCATTCGTATGACACTACAATATAATGACAATGGAGTTTTTTTTTTTTTACTTTTTCTTTTTTTAGCTGTCGACTATGTACAGTTGATCAAGCATCATTCTCTTACACAATGCAATCACATAGGCTACATAACATAGCCAAAGAAATGTCTATCCATGAGTAGTACATCATTAGAAAACTAGGAGAGGACATACATTCTACCCAAGCCATATCATTTAGGATAAGTTTTATTCAGTTGAGTGAGTAATGTGATTCAATGCGCATGGTGAAAAATATTACAATATCACATTAATCTTTACACAAACTCTGTAATTGAGTAGCAAGAATTAGTAAACAGTCTATTTAAAAGGAATGTGAAATCAGTACACAGAAATCAAAGTGTAAGCTGGTAGGACACCACCTTTAGTAAATTTAGTTAAGCAACACAAAGAACATGCTCGGATAGCACAAAATGATAAAGACACCTTCAAATACACAAAAAATGTACACAAAGTACAGTGCACTGACACCAAACACTGGAATCAATGGAGGTAATACACTTTTAACATTTGATGCGGCAAAACCGATATAGCAACAAATCAATTACAGTCAGATCAGTGACTGAACCACTGCATAAACAGAAAAGGAAATTTCCACGAGGGTTCAAATAAGCCGTTCCGAAAAAGTCACTGGCAATTTCTAGTGATCATCTATATCTGATTAAACATGTAAATGAAGGCCAAATAAAGAAAATAGAAATTAAAGTATAAGTAAAAAACTATAGTACCAACAGACCAGGCAAAACATGTGCTTTGCATCCTGCCAACTGCATTTTCTTGATAATTTTCATTATAAACGTAAGGGCAAATATTGGTGTTTCAGGAACAAAAGTGCCTATGACCTATAAAAGTAAGCTATATAAAAATAAATGTAAACTATAAAAATATCACACATCAGAACATAACACAAAAGTATGGAAGCCCTTTTCTGCCACAGAATAATAAAATAAAAAAGGTAATTGTGACTTTCATTTCATAATTCTGAATTAATGAAAAAAAAAAAAAAAAAAAAAAAAGAAAAAAGTCAGAAGTTTTCCAAGTTTACATCTCGCAATTCTGTCCGAAAAGTGAGATAAAAAGTCACAACTTTTTTTATTTTTATTCCATGGCAGAAACAGGCTTCCACACAATAGAGACCCAAAATGCCTTCCATGTTTCAAAGACGCAGATGCAAGTAAGAGCATACAGTATTTTCATAAACATACAAATCTCAGTTTGGCAGTCAAATCATCAGAATTCCTTAAATTTGCCGTCGGATGCAAGAATCCAGTACAGATATCCACAAATAACACTACATTGCGAGACAAAAAAATAATAAATACAGACTTGAACAAAGGCAAAATGGACACGATTCAAGTAAAATAAAAACTTGCAGCGCTTTCCCTCCTTTCCATAAAGTGACAAACATACTGGTGGTGCCATCACGTATAATACTTGTACTGTGGTCTACAGAAACGTTCATGTGAAATGACTAACGAGTAAGTATACAAAGCCCATGTGCCGAAGCCGTCGATTCTTCATCCGTGCAAACTGTGGCACAGCACGACCGCACAGCTACCAGTAACAAGAGAGTAACAGCTCCACTTTACAGCACAGGCATCAAAGCTATTGAGTTAAGTAGATTCACATCAAGTACAGTCACAGAGAGGATTATGCTACACTCTGCCGTAAATCGTACAGCCGTCCCACGTTACATGACAGTTCGGTTTTAGCGAAGTAGCGCGCGTTAATACAACCGAACGTAACCGATGAGATAAATGAAAGTGTGCGGTTAAGGTACGGTTTGATACCTTTGAAATGAGTCTTGACTGTACAGCAACGTACTAGGTGTGAAATATTAATCTCAACTACAGAAAACAAAACGTAACAGTAAATCTGATTATATTTACACTTCGGAAACACAAATGTAAACAGAAAAAAAAAAAACCTGAGAAAAAAGAAAAATCACATTAATTAAAGATTGTACTCACAGTCTCACAACTAGCGCTGCTCAGAAAAATGATATGGGTTCCTCGTAGTTGATATACACACTGGCACCTGTTCAATACTCACAATGGTAAATATTCGTTTAAGACACATGGCAGTGTTGGAGTATATGTGGCTTAACACTACACCATCAAACGTTACCGTTTGTACACGTCAGAATTGATCTTCTTGGGTGACTGATAGTTATTTCTAACACTAATAACTTTGAATTATGCTGCGTCGTTACTCGATGGAACGAAAGATGAAGGCAATACAGTACCGGCCAAGCAATAATGCAATTTTGCTGACAAAAAGGGCACATTTACAACAATACGATTAGTGATATCAAATTGACTAATACAGATGAATAATACTGTACATTGTGAATGGATGTAAACATCGACATAAATATTTTAATGGTTATATATCTTACAAATCACAAACTCACTGGAATGGGGTGGCAGTTGAACAAACCTCGTATGTCTTTTGAATCAATCTTTTTTTTTTTTTTAGATGTTAGCACGACAGGTTCATATTTAGAAATGTAGTGAAATCCTACCGGCGAGGGGCGAATGGTTGCACCCGACACATATTACAACAGTCTTTGCTATTTACATGAGGTACAGAAACAAAGTTCTTGGTTTAAAATGTTTATAGAGTGTTTTTAAGTACCATAGATGTGGAAACTGACTTTGCCGCTGAAAGGCGTCGTTTTAACAGAGAAGTTTGTTTTTTTTTGCCGAAATTGAGCGCATCTGAAAAACAGTGAGAATTAGCTGTGAAATTTTGCTTATAAATCCAGAATGAGTAGCTTACATTGTTATATAAGCCCGTATGAATTTGACAGGAGGCCGTAAATTGTGATATATTCAAAAAATTCATACCAGCTGCTGTAGATTTGGAATGAATCAAACCAGTTTATCAAGTCCACTTGGTTTAATTGAAAAGTGGACCAGCTAGCTGCATGTATCTACTCTACGGTTCGTGTAGTTTGAACTTTCATGTACTTTGATGTGGTTTTCAATGCTTCCTCGGTGCTTTGGCCCAATCACTCTCCTTCTCCCCCCTCCTCATCGTCGTCTTCCTCCTCATTGCCCTCCCCCTCCTCTCCGGCTTCGAGCGGTTCCTTCTTTCCAGTGACCTGGCTAGGGCTAGCCTGAGGCCCTAAGGGTCTCTGGGGATCGTGGTTTGAGCAGCAGGGCCGATTGTCCAGGGCAGACACTAGCAGCTGTCCTCTCTCGTGCTCTCGGCAGAAGGAGGCGGGGCAGAAGTGGCAGAAGGAGGCGGCAGTGCGCTGGCACGCACTGCACTGATGCCAGGGGCATTCCCATCGCCCTGACACACAGAAAATACAAATCAATCATACAACACCTAAGTGGCTCAAGAGAGAACTTCTGCTGCCCTCATATTGGCAATTTCTTTCTAATTAATAGATTAAGATCTGCAACATCTCATACTGTCAGTTGGATTAACATATTATAGGATGTAGGGTAACTGGGTCAACAGCGTATCAGAAAAAAATTATATAAAAATCTAGTTCAAAACACACCAAATTCTCAGAAATGGGCTCGGTTTTTTTTTTCCTCAAAAACTTTATACCATTTTCAAAAAAAGTTTTACATTTTTTTTAGTTTTGACTAAAAATGTCATGTGGAGTGACCATCAAGTAAAAGGACTTTTCCTCAATTTCCTCACACCTTGAATACTTGCAATTGTACATATTCTAAAAATGTAAAAAAAAAAAGCTTTTAAACATTTTTCTAGCTGTAAAGTATTTACACAAATTATTAATTCATAATTTTTGGGGAGTTGCACCACGACATTTTACAACCTGAACTAACCTAGTTTTGTCATAAAAAGATCAAATGATCTGATATTTTAAGAAACTTTGACAGAATTGAGGATCTACATAATTTCATGTTTTTTTCTTTATGTTGGTTGCACCACATGACATGGTTTTGTCAAAATGCAGAAACACTGAATAAATAAATTGTATAAATCAAAAATAAACAATTTAAAATATTTAAAAACAGCTACAATATTTTTAACAAAATTGCTGTTTTACCTACCTGTTTTTACGTGTTTTATTCCAAACTACTCGTTTCAAGAATTCTTTTTTTCTTATTTGTTACCATATCAGGACAGCTGCATCACTCTTTAAACTTCTAGACTTTTATAATTTATTCCCCCTTTAAATATGCTTTATATATATAAATTTTTTTATCATTCTCATCATTGAAGGGGTGTGTTCAAGCCATTTTATCCATGAATTATTAGATACAACTGCTATGTACTAAAAAAAATTGTAATTGTGTAATTTCATTGACCCATCAATAGATGGTCCATTGTTTCTTTTTCTTTGTGGTTCTCAACCTTTTAGGCTTTAAAGTTTAAATGTTGTACATCTTCAGTTTTAGCATTTTAATTAAGATTAATATTAAAACATTAATGCTATGGAAATCTAAATCCCATCAAGCAAGAGGCAACATGTGGCAGCATTACTACGAAATTACCACAGCTGACAGGAAGAGCTGGAGTGACAGACAGCACGTACCGTATGGAGGTTTGGTCAGGTTGAGGCAGAGGAGATGGTAGGCCTTCGGACAATCCTTTTTGTCACACATGACCAGCTCTCCTCCCTCTCCACAGCTGTAGCAGTAATAGTCATGGGTCTGTTTGCTCTCAGTCTTCAGCTTGCGCTTCTTGGGCTTGAGCTTAGCATTGCGTACCTTCTCTTCTCTCTCCATAACCACTGCACTCTGCAGGAAGTAAAACAAGGTGTCAGACAAGAGATTGATACGATGATGATAGATAAAGAAATAAAAGTACAAGTAACAAAGAGAAAGACAAAAACCTAGTGTTAAATAAAACATTAAGTACACTCAGCTATAGGACACTCTAGAGCACTGGTCTCGAACTCAATTCCTGGAGGGCCACAGCTCTGCACAGTTTAGCTCCAACCCTAATCAAACACACCTGATCCAGCTAATCAAGGTCTTCAGGATCACTAGAAACTTCTAAGCAGGTGTGATTTGGAGCTGGTTGGAGCTAAACTCTGCAGAGCTGTGGCCCTCCAGGAATTGAGTTTGAGACCACTGCTCTAGAGAATTGTCAATGGTTCAACAGAAAATGGTTAAGCACTTCATGTGCTTCTGTCTAATTAAATTAGGCTTTACCTTGGGCTTGACTCCAAGAAAACCACTGCAGTTCTCAGACCCACAGTGGCATGATGTCCTCCCATTACCCAGACAGTCCAGGTTGTAATTAAAGGTCAGCTCCGTGTCTAAAAAAAAAAGCATGATTATCTCAATTAGCTTCTAAACAAACAGTGTCCTTTTTTCAAAGAAAATGCTAATTGTTCTTACCAGCAGCGATATCACACAAGGTAAAGAGCCCTATCCGAACATCTCCATTTATGGTCCACTTCTGAGTCTCACAGTTGGGACTGCAGCTGTGGTTCATAAAGCGTGACAAGTTCCCTTTGGGTCCAGCATCAATCACACGGTCCTGAGAAGCACAGAAGGAGCGACTTTAATGCAGCTGAGATGATGTTATAATGTTACATACACGAAGTAAACATGCAACAGTGATACCTTTGTGAGGGTCAGCATGTAAAAGTTGGTCACATGGTTCTCATTGGCATGTCTTATTCGTTGCTTGCACTCCTCGGAGTCGATCAGTTCACCAACATACTCCATGACAAAATCACCCTAAACACAACCAACGTCCCAAGATCAGTAAAAAGAAACATTTTATGCAATATAATGAATAAAGGTCTAAACTAGAGGTCTACACGGGTCCAAAAATTCGGAGACCCATAAATGTGCTACACTGAACCCGTCTATTATTTTGAAAGTTGGACCCGGGCCCGTGCAGAACCGAGAAATGTCAAAAATGTACTACCCGGAACCGACGCGGACCGTCAATTATTTGAAAGATGGACCCGAACCCGGCCGGGAAGACACAGACCCGACTGGACCTGATCGGCACATATTCCACAGCAAATTGCTATTAACAAGTCGATAAACAAGTTGCGAAAATTAAACTTTTTGTCTTACCTAATGTAAGAAGCCTTCTCCCTTGTACCTGACTGTGATGCACACAATCCTCCTTGCCAAGAAAGTTCCATCCGTGTTATTCCTCTCTTGCCAATTGAAATGCGTAATCCACTCATTATTCCAGTTTCAAAAGTCCACTTGCTGTCACGGTGACGGATGACAAATGCGACTTTGCAGTTTTCAATTTTTTGTATCTCGAGTCAACTTGCATAATAATTTAGACTGTTTGCCCATTTGGATTATAATAACGATTGCTCGTCCAGTGCCATGGCTGCTGACGTTAGCTTTACTTATTTGCTATCATCTCTGTGCTCTCTGACCCGAGTCTGAGCAAAAATTTTAGATATAACAAGACGGTTCATTCATAATATTATAAAAAAAATAATCAATAATAACTCACATCACTCATGAAGGTATCCATTATCACCGTGCGTGTGCATTAACTCCGCCTACCCTGCTTCTGATGATGTCGCTCGGGTTTAATTTTTTTCCACCTTATTTCAAATTACCGACACACTTTTCTCATCCTAATTTTACAAGTTGAAAGTTACAAAACAACACACGCACAGCGCTGACTGACTCTGATAACGGCCGGGTGTTCTCCGAGTCCGATCGACTCGGGTATTACACACAATGTTAAACAGACCCGGGACCCGAAGTAATAGATTGGGACCCGACCCGGACCCGGCAGACCATTTAAAATATAGCACCGAACCCGTACGGATCCCGGGTCGTGTCCCCGGGTCTCGGGTCCTCCGTGTAGACCTCTAGTCTAAACTAAGCAGTTTTTTTCCAAATGTTGTTCACTGATTATTTTTGACATTCCAAAAAATGTCAGAATACCCGATTGAATGCCTACATACAATTAATAATAAAAAAAAAATAGATGCAGCCATGCAACAATATTATTATATTATTTCAGATTTGATCTGTGTGAAGGAGTCTTAAAGCTAGTTAAAAAAAAAAAAAAGGCACTAAAAAAAAACCAAATTAATTTTGATTCTGGATTTTGTTACATGGTTTTGTCATTATCTTTTTATTTTTTTTATTTGACTATTTATGTTAATTTTTTTTTGTTTCTGTATCTTTCCAGTTAGTAATTTTAGTGCTTCAACTTAAGTTAGTTGTCAAGCCAATATTTCTCATTTTCATTGATCTAATAGTTCATTTTTAGTGAACTATTTAGTTAATTCAGTTATCATTTATTTCAGTTATCAAAAATGTTTTCAATAGTTTTAGTTAATGATAGTAACCCTGGAGCATAACTACAAATATTTATAGTCACCACAGAAATGTATAACAAGTCTTTCTGAACTTTTCTCAATTACAGCTCCAGGCCATTAGTGCTATTAGACTTCATGCTCAGACGTCCAACTCTCACCTTTTTGAGGTCCTGCTTGGTCTTTAGGCCCCATCCTCGGCCGGTGGTCTTAATGACCTCAGTGTCAGGGTAGAGGCGTTTGGAGAAGCACTGGTTGTGGCAGCGGTCACCTGTGGGACAGACCTGCGAGTGGCATTCATACTGCAGCATGCGGTTCAGGCACTGAGAGTCCTGGCTGCACGGACGCTCATCTGTGGGTTTGCAGTTGCAGCGGGGGATCTCTGAGACGTCAGCGACGTGCACCTGCACCTTCCCAACTGGCTTATTGGACTGAGGTGAGAAACATGGACAAAAATATAGAGTTTTAGTTTGTTTCAATATGATTTTAGTTTTCTTTGCAAAGTTGCATTGTAGAGAGATTAACATGAAAGGAATGGGCCATATTATGGTACCACACAACAGCAGAGAAATAAGTTTTGAATTTGAGCTACATTCTGTACCTTGATAAGTTTGTATGGTGGGGGTCTGCGAGAGTTTCGCTCCTGTTCAAGGGCCTCCTTAGTTTCTCGCTGTGCTTTTAACTCCTGGAACCTTTTTGCTGCCTCCTCAAGTGCTTTACATGCACAAAAAATACATTTAGAAGTCAATTTAGCTTAACCTTTATTGGGGACGTGATACTTACATTGACCATTTAATATAACAAAACAAATGAAACTCCACTGAATTGGTCTGGTATCTTACCTTTTTTAAACGTCTTATTGATGCCAACTTGTCCCTCTGCAAAGTTCTTATCGCTCTCAACATACGGGAAAACTCTGCCCTGGTTTATCCAGTAATAGTCATGGGAGCCAAAGAAAAAGACTGGGAAGTCGCCAATGTCATGCTTCAAGGTCTGGATGTTGGAGGGAACCAGGCGAGGGTTGCATATCTCAGCTGGCCACCACCTACACATGGTTCAACATCTACATTAGGTTTATCACTTATTCATTGGTCAGTTAAAATTTAGCCTTCATCTTGTAAGAAAACAAACCAAAAATACTGATGATGCAGGGGGGTGTCCAAATATTTGTGTAATCAAAAGCTTTATAAAACTAGAATGTTCCTCTGCTTGTACTATTTGCTACTTACTAGCAATAGCAAAAATCAATAGCAACATTACAGCTATGACACACACACACAAGGTTATTTTATAAGAAGGGATGACTCATTCCATCCAGTTCAAATAAGGAAATACATTAACACAAAGGATATGGTTCTCAAAAAGCCATTTTTTTGGACTTAAGGCTATTTACACAGTACTGTGTCTGCTCAAATTTAGCGTAAAGGCGTGATGCCGCATAAAAGCCAGACTAAATTATGCCTGCTCAGACCCAAGTATCAAATTATACAGCAGTAATTTGTGTAAATGCATTCATGCCACCTCTGAACAGCATTAAACTGTCTGTGTAAAGACACTTAAATGCCACTTCAGATGAGCTTTTGTGAAACCTTTGCAGTATACATTTAATGGTATAAAGTTATAAAGTTAAAATTGCTGTGTAAATGCATTTACGCGACCTTTGAGCAGCATTAAACAGTCTAAAGGCTTGTTCACAAAGGGACGAATATCGCGCGCGATTATCGCCGACGTTTAACGCCTCGTGACTAAACAAAGGGCGCCAATGTGAGTGTGCACACCGACGCGCAAAACGCGAGGCGTATTTTTGGTTTGACACGGCGTGTTAAAAACTGGCCGACCAATGAGATTGGTGCTTTTGTTCACATGCCTGGAGCTGCTGAAGTAAAACACGACTTGGTGGCGCTCAAGCACAAAATGGTCTTGCCAAGCACACATTGATACCTAACGACGAAGAGGAAGTAGACCAAGAAGATGCATCGAGGCAAGATGAATGTAGAGCTGCTGGTCTCATTGGTGTCTGAACACGAAGGACTTTATGACAAACGCGACAGCGACTACAAAAATCTCAATAAGAGGGAGTTATGGAGAGGAATTGCAGATCAAGTAGGATTCGATGTGTACCGGGGTATTTCTGTTTTTCATTAAGCGCCATCTAATGTCAGGGAGTGAATTTGCACGTTCACTCGGCTCATCGCCAGCGAAAATTGCTTGGGTATGAACACAAAAGACGCGTCGAAAAACGTCAGCGATAAGCGCGCGCGATAATCGTCCCGGTGTGTACGAGGCTTAACAGTCAAAAAAATACATGTATCAAAAGACTGAAAAATCAAACAACGCCTCTGTGAACTCAAGTCAGAAATAAACTACAATGATTTGTAACATTCTTAGATAATATATTTGGAATTATTAATACTTCTATTATTACTTTTTAAATATGATTTATTTTTATATATTATATTCTGCATCAGACGTTGTGAGAAATAGCTTGAATTTGTGGGACAAAAAAGAAAAGCTTTTTGAATATTTTATATTTTTGTGCCATTTAGTCACATTAGACTTGACATGAACACACCTTTAGTTTAGCAAAAGATATCTTAGGACACTAAGAGACTTTCAACAGTTCCATGGACGTACCTGTAGTTGCCCAGCTTGACCCAGACTATCTGCTTATAGTGGGGCTTCTTGCCCGCTCTGCATTCCCCACACAGCCATGTCCCCTCTGGCATCTCCATGTTCAAGCACTCGGGGTGGAACGAGGCGGGACAGGCCTCACAACACAACAGTCTTCCTCCTTTTTGACAAGCACACACACGCACATAAACACACAATCGAATACACAGGCCCACAGTATCACCACATGCTTGTCCATTCCCAATAAGGCGGTATTCCACAAACCTCATCCATGAGCATGTCAGAATCAGACAGTTATGTGTCCTCTGAGATCGATATACGTCTCTGAAATACTTCAACATATACGTCTAGATTCTAAATGCCAAATTGAAGTTCTGTTTGACATGCTCAAAGACATGGTTTGATGACTAACACCTTTCAGCATTATGTTAATGTGCTTTTTTGTGCCGGGTGATTTAATAAGCAGCCAATAGTGAATGATCAGAGGGGGGCACTACGGGAAACATGCAGTGATGCACACTGACTGATTGTCCGCATTAACATCACCTGCAGTACACTAGCAGACACAGAGCAAGTATTTTGGATGGTATCATTTAAAACGCTTTGTTTGACTGACAAGAAAAATATGGCAAATAAGCACTGATGGACAATAAAAGATGGAGCACAGCAGTGAGTGCCCACTTTTCCAGCCACTTTGATTCCGAAAGCATTTTTCCCGATTCATTTTTTCCAGAGGGATTAAAAAAAAAAATCTTAAAATGATGAACTCTAGTCCTGAACCAATCCAACAAGCTCTGAAATTATTCACATCAATGAACTACTCACTCCAAGAATCATTACAAATTACGTAAATAAAACAAAAAGGTACAATATAAAAATTAAATAATTTAAAGTACAAAAACTATATATATTTTTTGGGAGGTCAAAATGAAATCTGAAACTTCAACAAACATATCAACGCTTTATCAACGTATTGAAGACCATTTTTCTACAGAATAAAAAAAAGTTAATTTCAACTTCTCACAAATGTATAAACTCAGAATTGAGAGATATAAAAAGTCGGTATAAACTCAGAATTGAGAGATATAGACTTGCAATTCTGAGAAGAAAAGTCCAAATTGTGAGAGATAAACTTGCAACTGCAAGACAAAAAAGTCAAAATTGTGAGATAAAAAGGTTGCAATTACCTTTTTAATTTTTATTCTGTGGTGGAAATAAAAATAAAAAACAATTGTGAGAAACTCTGAAGTCTGAGAAAAAAGTCAAAATTGCAAGATATAAACTCAGAATTCAGAGGGGAAAAAAAAAATATAAATTCGGAACTCAGATTTCTGTGTTTATATCTTGCAATATTTACCTTTTTTTCTCAGAAATGCAAGGGAAAAAGTCAGAATTTTGAGATAAGTCACAATTACATTCAATGACAGAAAAGGGCTTCCATACATCAGGGCTGTACAAGTTATCTTTAAACAATTCTCTATGGACAAAATGAATGGGATTTTGACTTCCAGGACCGTGCTAGTGGCTCTATTAAAATTGCCATCCAAAATATGTTTATGTTTGAAGGGTGGTAGGGTATAATTGTGCTCAAGCAAACAGAGAAACGGGACAAAGTAATTTAGAAACAATCCAAGCAAATAATGCTAAGCCAAAGCGTGTTACGGACTCAGAATAACAAGTTACGTGACATATCATAACCTAGTAAAATTCCCAGGAATCGGATACAGGCACACAAAGATTTGAATATTATGCCAACTTCTATTTTATTTCTCTACACAATTTCCCAAACTAATTTAAAATGCTGATCTGATTTAAACTAAAGAACTAAAATCTAAGCTATTTGTTGCTGCGTGTTATTTCAAGTCCACTATGTGCATTAGAAGCAGCGTGAGGGTGTAAAGTTACGAGCAATAAAATGACCCCAAAAACAAACAAATAAACAAAAAGTAGCAGTAAGACAGCTGTGAAAGCATACAGATGGCAAACTACATAAACCAAGAAAACATGATTTTACCTTTCCCAATATTCTTTTTGGTAGCTGACGAAGAAGAAGGAATCATAGGTAATTTCATCAACTCAGCACGAACAAACAGGAAAAGTCATGAGTAATGAAACTACCCATGATTCCAGAAAACACACATCAGGAAAAAAATGACACGTGATTAAATAAGTAGTCCTGAAAAGAGAACAGAAAAAACGAGAGTCTTAAGGAGGAATACTGCAGTGTTGGAGTGGGCGCTTTAGGGAATGACTGGATAAAATGTAAAATATGCAATAATTGTGTCATTTGATACTTAACCGTTTTCTGCGTTTAATAGTAGCCAAATGTTAAATTAATAGTTAATTCAAATAGGCAAATCAAGTTATTTATTCACCCTCATGTTGCTCCAAACCGGTCTTTCAGTAAATACAGACTTACATTTTAGTCTGTTTCGCAGACAAATCTATCATAAGGCTTCACCAGACTTGAAGTATTGGGCACAGAGTCATATGGACCATTTTTATGATGCTTCGATTGCATTGCAACGCAGTTTGTGCAAGTCCAGAACAGAGACGAGTTGCTTGCAATAAGACAAAAAACAGCCGGTTGCAGATTGCGTAAGTTCCAGGGGAAGCTCCTTAAGTTCGGCCGTCATACAATTTTCAAATCGCGGTATACCTTGAAACCGGTAATCGGCCCATGTCTAGCCCTGATTAACTGCAACTGCATGGGTGAAGGAAAGACAGAACTAGAACTTTCTTTCAAATTTTGCATTTTGTGTTTCAGGGAAGAAATACAGTCATAAGGGCTTGGAACAATATGATGTGAGTAAATGAAAGATTTTGCTTTGTCAGTAAGGACAAATTTTGGTTATAAAGATCATGCAATTGCTCCCACGCCAACACGGACTATCCAAATTACTGCAGACAACAAAGATGGTTAAAGAAACGACCAAAATTCAGTTTATAATTATCAGTTCGTTTCTTGAGAAATTAGAAGGTGGAAAAGCTTTTCTACAAAAGTGGGAAGGGGTTTGTTCCAAAACTTAAAGATGCAATCCATGATATTCATTAAGGTTTGCATTCTGAACAAAACTTCTGGCAGTAAGACACTAACACTGAGCGAGTTTACATGTGCAACAAAATGCTATCAAAAATCAGTGCCTATTCATGAATAAATCGTGAAAATAATTTGGTTTAGGTCTTGGCATATTACAGGCTTATTCATCTAAACACACTTATTGACATTAATATAGAGCACAATATATTGTAACCAAAACGGTATCAACCAATATTAGCAATTCATTTCAAATTAATTTGTAATTAAATCAACTTAATTTTGTGTTATTGCAGATAAAACTTAAAGTCCAATTTTAAACATTTATTGTCTTAATGTCTAATTTTACTTGAACAATATATCAAGATTAATTAATTACGAAGACCATAATCTCTATATCTGTGAAAAATAATACTAAAAACCCTCTGGCATAAGACAGTAAGACCCAACCTTTAAAATTGGCAGATTTTTATGATTTTACCATTTACAAACAAACAAATAACAGATTTAGTGTTCATTAACTGCTCACTGGAATGTCTTAAATTACAGACAATTTTTGCCATTTTAAAAGTTCAACTGAAATTAAATTCAATCTCAGTCCTTCCCCAGAAGAATCACAGACAATTTAAATGTTACTAATTAGTAGGAAACAAACATGATCTGATGGATCACGAACAAACAGTACATCTTAAAGTAAAGGATTAGGTGACAAGAAAGGAGGTCACATTAAAAAGTGTCCAACTCTTAAAGAGAAGGAACATCGAACATTACAAAGGATGACACAAGAGAACATTAAAATACTGATGTGGTGAGAAGATTGTTAGAAAGTGTTACATTCACTAATTGCACTAGTGACAACTTGCAATTTTGACAAGAACCCATTTAAATGCCTTTTAAAGTATGAGATACACTGAACATACAAATCTAATCATCTCAGTAATTATGGCCTTAGCTATAATGCAAGGCATGAAGACTGTCAGGCCAAACGTACCTCGAGCGCAGATGAAACACCAGCCTACGTTTACAGGTGAGGAAAAGTGTCCGTTCTTCCTGGAACTGGAGTGGTTGCTACATATGATGATGTGGGGTGTCATCAACACACTGCCAGCCGCCACACAACCGTCTCCTGTGTGATACGCCACCGGACAGCGGATACATCGCATCATACGGCCTAAACAGGGAGGAAAAAAAAAAGGAAACCGCTCTGAAATTGCTTCTGTAAAATACAATGCAAAAGTCAATCTTCTATATATCTACCTTTGCCAGCTTTCTGAAGGTCTCTGTCGAGACAGCATGTGGCACAGCTGTGCTGAGGGCAGCGGAGGCCTCTAGTATCGGTGGTGGTGCCAGTGTACTTGCGGGCACATGTTTCGTGATAATAGCGGCCACAACCGTTCACTGAGCACCGCTTCACGTCACCCTCCACGACCTTGCAGGAGAAACAAGGGTGGGAACCTGGAGAAAGAGACGGCGACAAACAGATTAGACTAAACAGGAACTGAAAATAGAACAAGCAAAACTATTTTCAATGCACTAAAAAAGCATGACACAATTAAAAAAAAACTAACCTAATTCTTTAAACAGGTTCATAGTAAAATGTTGTGTAATGATGTATTGCTAAGAAACTTTTTTCACAGATGTTACAGGCCATTTTTTGAGTGTTACTGGTGGGCTATATAACTGGTAACAGCTTTTAAAAAGTTACCACAAATCAGATGTAATGCTAGAAATTAAATGAAATAGGAGAAGAATACCTCTTTAATTCAGTTTATTGAATAATTATGTCTAACCATTTAGGAGCAATAGGATGTAATATTTAGGGCTGGGCAAAAAAAAAATTTGATTTTTCGATTAATTGTTTTTTTAAAATGACCGATTCGATATCGATTCTCAAAAGCCGTGAATCGATCTTTTCCGGTATTTATTTCAGCAAACATTTAAAACAAGATCTGATTATTGTGAATCTTATCATTAGTCTTCTCCACTAGATGTCACCCTCTTAATTACCTTGCGCGATGTTACAAAAAAACATAAAAGCCTGTCATTCATTCAGTGCTTATCATAGCGGAGATACTGTTGACAAGAACCAAGAACAAAGCAATGTGCACGATTTGCAAAGCTCAGGTAAAATTCTATAGTAATACAACAAATCTGCGGAAGCATTTGATATCACGCCTAAGGCACCATGATTTCCGCAATGAATGAATGGTGGGACGTACTGTTTTGTTTACTAAAGTGCAGACGACGCTCGCGGTGTTTTCAGCTTCTGCCATCTCACTATATGATGGTATGAACACACGAATATCATCTCCAGCTGCTCTGAGAGTCACTTCATTAGCATTTTACCATTTAATTTGAGAAAACTACCATCATATCACATACACAGCAGCTGCAAATTCCTCATGGCAACCAGTCAAAATAAAAGTTTAGTTTAATGTGAAGAAACTGTGTCAGAAATATATGACTATTTAGCAGTCTTAAGACTCAGTGTAACAACAATGCTACTACTACTACTACTAATAATAATAAATATTAATAAATCTTCATTTTTAAAGGAATAATCGCGTTTGTTTTCTTTTTAATTTTAACAGTAAACATCTGTTGTGCAGTCCTTTGTTTGCCCCAAAATAAAAGGGTTTAATTTTCAATTGATTAGGATAAATTAAATTAATCTTTTATGCCTTCATCTGATTACCAGAAAAATGAAGAAGAACATTTTATAGGGCCCTATTATTGTTTAAAAAAGGACCCTATGCAAAAATAATAGGTTTAAAATACAGGCCTGTGGCTCTTAATTTCTTTTTAAAAGTGTTCCTGTGGCTCAGTGGTAGAGCACTGCGTTAGCAGCTCAAAAGGTCATGGGTTCAATTCCCAGGGAACACACATACTGGTAAAAAAAATGTATAGCCTGAATGCACTGTAAGTCGCTTTGGATAAAAGCGTCTGCTAAATGCATAAATTAAATTTTATTAATTCACCATTTGTAAACTGATGTTTACTGTTCATTTTTTAGAAATATCAATAGCATTTGTATTAAAACTAGTGCTGTCAAATGATTAATCGCATCCAAAATAAAAGTTTTTGTTTACATAATATATGAGTGTGTACTGTGTATATTTATTATGTATATATAAATACACACA